TGAGTTTCTTTTGTCCTTCCATATATCGGGCATTAACGTTAACGAACGATTTAAATAAGGTTCGGTCAATTGTTCTTTTAATGCTTCACGATGTTGTCGTGCAACTGTAGTAATTTCATTTGTTATAACCGAACGTTTTCTTAATAAACAATTTATATCGAATGAATTGTATTTTGAACCTATTTATTGAAATCAAAAAGTTATACGTAATGTTAAACAGTGTAGACTGATGGTATAGGATTTTCGTAAAATTATCTTACCTAAATTAACAGCAAATTGTAGCAGTTTAATAAAACCTTGATCTTCGACAATTGATACTGGTCGTAATGAACCACAAATCCATTGCACCATTAATGTTTTCAAAGTATCAATTTCTTTAGTTGTGCCGGTGATTTGCTTTTGAATTCCAAAATTAAATAATGTATCTGTATCGTTTATTTTAATAATTGTTGAAGCAGATGATGAAGAACAAGACGATGAGCGTTGTTTTTTTGTGGGCCTTGTCGTCGAAATCAAACTTGTTTTCTTATTTGCACATATATGTCGTTGCAAGGGTGTCGTTCCAATTTTGGAAGATTCATATGAATAAGTTAATTTACATTCTTTACAAGATGCAAAACCATATATAATGTGCACATGTCCTAATTCATTCGTTTTTGCAGGTAAACCAAATGAAGTCCATACCTGAGATAAACCAGATTCATTATCAATAACACGATAATCACTGTTTTTTGTTCTCAATAAGTTCGTGATTTTTTCAGTTGTATACTCTTGTGATATTAAAACCGAATCGATAGTTGTTGAATTACGAGCAATGTTATTAATATCAGCCATTTGAAAATCAGATAATGAAAATGTCAAAATGGTTGCTTAATAGACGAGACAAGTTTCAAATGTATATAGTTATAACGATTGTTGATATGCCAACAGTACAATCTAGAAAAAAGTCGAGATAAAATAAAGACTTACAAGTGTAAAATTGAAAATTGATAAATAGACACCATATGTATCGATCATAGAACTAGTTCGATAAGTGGCAAAAGTATATTTATATATTTTCTTGTTCTTTTATTCCAATATCAGTTGAAAGATATTGATGATAATTAACGGCTAATTTCCGTCGGTTTAAAAAAAAAATAAACGGCGAGAGACATCTGAAAATGATAATCTTAGAACACTTAATTTTAACGACAACACTTGTTAGAAAAATAATGTTAAGAGACGGACTACGCACTATGATGAAAATTGACGTACATACGAAAAGATAGACACTTTAGTCGCGCAAATCTGCCTGCAGAAAAAAACGAAAAAAAGAAGCGGACGGGGAAAATGTGAAGAAAAGAAAAAAATTGATCGATATTATTATTTCTATAAACAAACTTAGAAAGAGAAGAGCCTTTATATGTGTATATGCTTCAAAACAATTAGGTGAATGACTAGAACGAAGATGTAGTGAAAACAAGTGATAGAAAAAATTTAGATGTTGAAGAACGAAAGAAATAGTAAAAGCAACTGAATCAGCGAAGGAAAGAAGAAATGAAATAAATAGTGAATGTAAATCTATGTAAAAAAGAAGGAATAAGAAGACGAAAAGGGAAATTCATCAACGGGTTGAAACGGGTTGAACCCGCGGGTACACGTAAAACTATAACCCGACCGGGCAAACCCATAAATCCTGAAAATATCTAACCCGTTAACCCGTAACCCGTCAGAGGTCCAACCCGCCCGCGGGTTACGGGTCGGGTCACGGGTCGGGCGGGTTGATGCAAAACGGGTTAACCCGTCAACATCTCTGATAGAGACTGCCATGTCGATCGAATGATAAACCTATAGGAACTTTGAGTTGATTCGACTTTGCTCCTGCGCCGTTTCCACCAACAATGACACTTTCTTGTGTGGCTCCTTTTGGCCAACGCATGATTCGATGATACCAATGATCAGCCACATAGACAGTACCCAATTGATCGACAACGAGTCCTTCAGGTTCATGCAATTGTGTAAGACTATTTCCTTGTCCTTGACTACCGGTTACGACAATGCCTTGTGTTGCACCTTCTTTCCATTTCATTACACGATTATTCTTCCAATCAGACACATAAACTGAATAATCTCGATCGACAAATACGTAGTGGGGATTGAAGAGTTGATCGAGACGAGTTCCTTTTCCATTGCCACCTGCAGCCACCGTTCCTTTAGTGTCACCAATTTTATATCGTCTCACTGCATGTATTTCAGCGTCAGCGACATAGAGAAAACCATTGTCATCCATTGTCAAACCAACGCAAGCGATATCGGAAATAATTGTTTCTCCACGAGTACCATTTCGACGAGGCCAACGAACTACTCTTTTATTCTCATAATCGCTGATGATGAGACTATCGCTCTCTCTGTCGATAATCACATCTCGTGGGAAATGTAATTGATGAGCTCCATTTCCTTCTCCATTTCCACCAGCAACCACCGTGCCATTCGTTGCACCAGATTTCCATTCCACAATACGGTTATTACGTTGATCAGCTACATAAATCGTTTGATCATCGTCGACGTACAAACCCAATGGGGCATAGAGTTGATTGGTTCTACTGCCTGGTCTATTTACTCCAGCAACAGTGATACCATCCTTTGACCATGTTGCATTCGGATGAATATCAATGAAACTTGCACGTAATGGAACTAAAATGAAACAAAAATATGGAGTAGACATAAATATTGATTTCATTGGAAATGAGTTCTTGATTTTGCTAAAAAAACTCATGAGATATTTGTATGTTAATTGGTATGATCAGAAGAAATATCTAGTCTTTTTAAACATATTTAGTGGAATTTACAGCTAAAAAAGGGATTTTTTTTATTCTCAGAGTCATTTCTTAGTTCAAATGAAAATATGAACGTGAGTAAAATTAATCGAAATTATTCAAATAGATGATTGACAATTAGTAAACAAATGAGACTTTTGTTTCTGTTGAAATCTCGTTTGTTTAATATTTATTTTCATAATAGCACTAATAGAATAGGTCACAAATATCACTACGATAAAAAATTTATATATCTTCACTTTTCTTAGTTGGAATGAACTGATTTTTGATATGTAATAGGCTAACAAAAAAAAATCATATAAAGCATTTCATAGATCATTTTTACTTTTCATCGAAGATAATAATAATAATAATAATAATCACCAGTGGAAAGGTAATTATAGCGTACAATTACTATGCAAAAAAACTAATATGTCCTGTGTTACAATTCAAAATTTTGTAACTGCTGACTTTTGAACTAATTAAATACTTCCAAAAATTTACTCTATTCACATCAATATAGTATCGGTTTGATTTCTAATTTTTTTTATTCTTTGAGATAACAACTAAATAGTATCTACAATAGTATTAGCTTATATCATCTGCAGAAAAAAAAACTTTGAATAAATTCTTATCGCTAACTAAAAAAACATTAGTACATTATACTGAACCGACTTGAAGATATTTCATGTTTCTGTCCTAGTACTCATTGTAATCCTTTCTATATGTCAAGAAAAAAATTTAAAAACTTCAAACTTGGCATAGATTTATATGTCAACTGAAGGTTACTGCAACGAGTCATTTGTGACAAGATGATAACCAGATTGGATGCTTATGAGAATTCATCTAAATTATATGAGTTAGTGCTAAAAATAACTTTATAAATAGAGTACTATCCACGTGGAAAAATCTAACAAAAACTGTATTTTCTACTATAAGATGATATTGTGAATATTACACGGTTCTATTCATAAGATTCTTCTTTCCTATCAAAAATGGTTTTTATAATTAGTTTTGTGCACAGAAATCAATAATTGAGAGATACTACATCTTCAGATAAAAATGCTACGTTTTATAAAGTGGTTTTGAATTATAAGTCTCCAATATGAAGAATTCTTAATCTGTTCATGGTCATAATGGACTATATAAAAATGAATGCAACTGTTACACATTTATCTTACGTTTTAGTGTTGCATAGAAAAAATACATTATGCGTTGTTATTCAAAATAGGATCATATTTTTTTCACATCTAACTCACCGACATTAGTTCAGTTTTCTTTAGGATTTTTGACAGTCTTCATGATTTCATGTAATTGTTTTTTTTTCTTATGTCGTAGATGTTTATTTTTCTTAATACTTTTATTAAAATTAGTACCGTTAACATTTTTATCATTTCAGTAGAATTGAAATAAAATTAATTTCATATTTTGTACATCTTTTTTTTTAAACTTCAGCTTAATTAAAAATAATCTGATGTAATCATCTATTTACAATATAAATTGAGTTCAAATACACCTATACTTTATAAGTAAATTAATTTCGTTGCATTGATTATATCATACTGTACTAAAATAGAATCATGCCGATTGCGAAATATTTTATTTTATTCTTATTTTGATTATCAAACAGATTATTCTCATAAAACTATTGTACTTATTTCGTTTTTTACATTATGTATTTATTTATCTTATATAATACTAAACTAAAATAGTTTGAGAACATTATTTTATTTGCTAAAAGAATATAAATAAATCTAATATGATTATTTATCATCCAACTTTCTTAAGCGCTGTAATATATCATCTAGAGAAAGTATTTCAACAATTAACAAAACCAATTAATATGTTTTGATAAAACTAAATCGTTATTCATGTTGTATTTCAAAATAAAAATATTCTTTTCACTACTTTTTAACAATGAATTTAGTCTTGGGTAGTAATGAAGACAATGAAAAATTACTGCAACAAATTCTAACCATGTGCCCTAGTGAAAATACTCATCAAGCGAGTACGACTTTCCAGCGTGAGTACTCATATTACTCACGCGAGTACTCGAGGAATTTTGTGTGTATTTTTACTCTCCATGTACTCTAATGAGTACTCGTACGAGTGTATTTTTAAAAATTTACTCATAGGCAGACAGATGAGTACTCAAAGTCGTACTCATGCTAGTTGTTTCGCAGAATATTTAGCAAAACACTTATGCATTAGCATATACAAAAATAAATTGGAGCTATATAATAAAAAAAACTAATGTAATAAAATGAAAAATAGAGAAAATCAATTGAATAAATTATTTATTTTATACTCTATTTTTTTTTGGATGAATCATTTGTACGGATAAAACAAATGGTGACTTTAAGATAGAAAAGAATAATGATTTTTCATTTTCATCTGTTCAATTCTTCGGAAGGATTAAGTTTTTTCTAAATATATTAATGTAGATTCGTTTTTATTTTATTTCCTAAGCTTAGGCCAAAATTCTTTCATTAAAATTCAATTTTTTTAGATTGATTGTAGAATATCATGGAACACAAGGCAGTTCGCAAATTGTGTTACAAATCGATCGCGATTTTAAAATAAGAAGATGTGTTAATAAACTATAGACAAATAATTTTATTTTGTATTTATTTGTAAATTTCCTGATGATTGTAAATAGCGATGGATTTAAAAATGTCTGTTTAGTTTTCTAGTGTAATAAGCAATACTGTACGTTCATTTATTGTCACGTTTCTCATCGTCGTTGATTAATTTATTATTTTTCTGCTTCAGTGTATTTTACTGTCCTTAATTTATGTCTTATTGTACTCTCATTCTCTAGGATATAGACAAAGAAACTTTTATTGTTAGAGAAGATAATTAAATATTTCTTTTTTCTTTATTTTATATAATGAAAGTACGTTTTTATTTATTTTTTCGAAAGAAAAATGAAAAGAATAAATAAAATTGTATTTTTATGGTATGTAAATACAGAAAATATTTAAATTTCTTCGCTCCTAATAAAGATTTCTATGCCTGTAATCTTTACGTTAAAATATATGAAACTGATATCAAATTTGTCGTTCTCATGTTGATCATTTTTCTCAACCTTTCATTATGTCCTCTGTTTGTTGATAGTATTTTAATATTAAATAAAAATTAATGTAGTACAACGGTACTAACCAAAAATATGCTTATAAGTATCTTACATAGGTCAGCAGAGCACACAGATACTAGATAGTAGTACTCACAAAACACTCAATATTACACAGCGAGTACTCGATTGTCGTACTCAGATACTCAGATTCTAGCAGGAGTACTACTGATGAGTACTCAAAATGCGTGAGTACTCATGAGTACTCGTGACATTTTCTAGCGTGAGTACTTTTTGAGTACTCGCCTATGAGTACCTTCACTAGGGTGGCGTTTGTCATAGTTTCATAGCGTCTTCTATGAAGAATTAAGATCTTAGATGTTCATAGGATACGATTATATAAAAGTGATATAGTATACCATATGGTCACAAACCCTAATCTTAAGATCATCATACAAAATCTTGCAAGACCGTACACTGTGATGATAACAGCTCTAGTAGGGATTATATAGGACCTTGTTGCTCGTCTATTTCACCTAAGGAGTTTATCTAATATGCTAATGATATGGTCTAATTCACAAAATATCTTTATATTCATGTAGGAATATTTGATTAGTATGGTAATTATATTATTCAGTAGATAAAAGCAACATCTCTCCTGTATTGTGGAAGTAATGAAAAAACGGCTGTGAACTGTTGAAAATTAATTTCAAAAGAAAATGCATATTGTCTAAGTTTCATGAGTTGAGGTTTATAATACATATATTTACTTCATTTGTCATTGCCTTTCATGTGCTCAACAATAACTCCATAGTCAATCGTATGTCTTAATATGTGCAATTCGCCAAGTTATGTTGAAGATTTCAAAACATATCAAACTCAGTAGTGAACTTTTTCACCGATGTATATCGTACGAAAATTCCGAAAGATCTCTTCTTGTTAGAGATAGACAACTATTCTTTTTTCAAAAATTCTAATTTATTCATATTTTTAACAATGTCGATTTTATAGACCCGATATTTCAAAAATGAAACGATGAAAAATAAATTCTTTTTATCAATCGATAGCTAATGAAGTGCACTACAAAAAGAATGTTTTTATCGCTTTCAAATGTAACTCTTCTTTTATTTTTCTGTAATCGCTCTAGAAATAGTTACTCCAGTGACCAATCGGGGAGGATCGAGTAAAGAGTTGAAATAAGAATATGTGTAATGAAAAACAAGTTAGATAAAAAACTATTTTAATAGTGTTACTAATCACGTACACTCCTAACTAGGATATCAATTAATTGCAATAAATTTTGAATAATAACTTAGATGTTACTATTACACATATATCCTCTATTTGTTCTATTTTGTATCGTCGCTAAACACAAAAACAAAATTAAAATGAATCCAACACTTATGAAGTATGGCTATTCACTCTTCCATATCTTTACTAATGTGCAGAGATTTCGTTTGTTTTTGACCAAGGGGGGGAAAATTTTTTTTCCCAAAGAGAATCTGCTGGGAGAAAACGAAAATATTTTTCCAAAGAGAAAATCCGCTGGAGAAAAACGATCAATTTTTCCAGGAAGACTTTCTCCCAAAATTTTAGGAGGGGGAAATTCCCTCCCTTCCCCCCCCCCCCCTAATCGTATGGCCTGGTTGTATAGAACTTTAACC